TTCATACTAAGAATCGCCCTGATGATGGAGGCAGTATGACCTCTGAAACGTTGGTTAACATCGACCAGACTACACAGCGCAACAACCCAGAAATCTTCATACTCACCGCCATGAAAACCTCAAATCTTACGATGAGATTCTTCATTGCCCATAAAATATAATGCTTACAACAGACTTCATCATTCCTTGAAATGTTTGTGACATTTTGGAAATCGTTCTTCTTTCCACATGTTTAGCCACTGCTTGAAAGGAGTAACAAGATATAAGCCTCTTCAAACACTGTACAGAACAGAACAGCTCACTTGCAAGTCCTCCATTTTAAAATACAAGACAGAAGGATGGGACTAGGGTGGAATGGGGCAGGTGCTCCCTTCCCCCATCACAACATTTGGACAGCCTACATGAAGTAGCATCAAAGGGGGTGGGCAAAGTGGGTCACGGCACAGGGCATTTCTGGCCTCACATATGTACTTGTACATATCAGAATTCTTTTATCCTTTCTCCTTATACCGTCTGCCTTACACACAAACTTTTATCTGAAACTGAGAAAGTTAAAGCCTTTGGAAAGTGAATAATAATTGTTGTTCCTTTTGTGTGTACACACATGTGCATGCATGCATGTACACAGTGGTGGCAAGGCAAGTCAGAAGGCTCTAGGCAAGATTGATTAGCAAGGCCCCCTTTTATTAAAAAGAAAAAAGTCATTTCAACTGATTCACGAAAATTTTCCTTTTTTCAGTTATAAACAATAACACAAGTAATTATTGCATTAACGACATATTTCAATAGAGATAATGTTACTGAACAGTGCATAATCACTCTACCGTGGGTTCTGGAGTTCGCAGGTATAGACGACGCAACTATAGCTCGCCGAGACCAGCTACGGCCACCGAACACGGGATCAATAGCTAAGCGCATCCTTTGAATAATAGCATCTACTGCAGTGTCACTTCGAATATTTTGTCAAATACCCTTTTCATTTTAATTCTGAATCCAGTTTGAACCATTTGACTAAATGTATTAATTTCCCTGATGCCACTGATGGTGACCTCTTGAGGTTGAAACGCGTATGGCAATAGTGTCTTATTATAGTGTTAATAATGTATTAATTTCCCTGATGCCACTGATGGTGACCTCTTGAGGTTGAAACGCGTATGGCAATAGTGTCTTATTATAGTGTTAATAGTTGTTGGTTTGCTTACTTTATATTCTAATACACTACACGGTATGCAAAGTTTTAAGATTATGAAGTGTATGACTTAAATTAATCTGATAAAGATAAAGTTTGCAAAGAAAGGACTGTCATTTGGATAAACAAACTCATTAATAAAATGACTCTTATATTATCATATATCTTGGCATTATTTAGCTTAAAGCCACATTATGAATAAGTTTACATACAATAAAGCATATTTTGCCCCATAACACATGGAATAATCACAGATTCAGTACGAACAAGTAATAGTTACTATAAAACAAAAACATAATAAGTCACACGAATGGCTTAAAATAAGCTGTCGTATTTTACAACGTATGCACGACATGCATGTTATAACTAATGTTCTGGAAGTTCATTCCCTGCAGAAACTCTTCCAAGCGTAACTCCTTAACAATAACCTACAAAAATTAGAATAATTACTTTTTATGGAAAAGCTATAAACCATTATCAAATTAGCACCATTATCTTCATCCCGTTCATAAACAGCTGTATACAATATGATGCAAAGGCATTAGAGATTTTGAAATGTGATCGTAACAAAGGCACAGTATGAGTAACAATAAGGATGAGCTATAAACTGAGATGACAGTAGAACTTAAATTTATGTTCAATGTCAGTGTTAAGCTTTACAGTGAGTACAATTTAAACAGTGCAGTTGCACATTTGTATGAATAAATGTGCCTACTAACATCAGATATCATTTTATTTTTATGTATAAAGTTATGTCAGCATGCACACTGAAAATGTGAGATTGCATTCTGGGAAAGATTATCTGCAAATAGAAAATTTTGTTTAAAAATTGTAGAAGAAAAATCAGAGAAGCAAACCGTACAATGTAAGTGTAACAAACTAAATTTCATAATTGTATTCATCTCAGCAAAAATTTTGATCATCAGACTATTCATTACAATTACAAGAAT